TTTCTTTCTTTCCCTGCAGATTCTTGTATGCTTGGCTTTACTGTGCAGCAGGAGGATAAAAAATTGTCCCTGGAAACTAATTAAAACTTTATGTCTGGAGCATTCACATGGCAGATTGGAGCTGTGGGTTTCACCCCTCTTGGTTTGGGATCCCCTAGAGCTCTGGTCACAGTCTTTGTGCAATGCTTTTGTCACCAGACAACTGTACAAATAGAGTGCATAATGTCATATTAAAGGATGTTGTTAAAATGGTACATGGTTCTTAAACACAATTAATGCAATTATAGGGCTTGTGAAAGAAGTCAGGAGCTTCTGTCCTTTGGATTTTAGGCATCCTATAGGACTGAAGCCTGCAACTATCTAATCTTCCAGACTTGCTTGCTGGTCTACTGATAAAAAGCCAGAATGTCTTCACATGGGGATCACTGAGTTCCAAAAAAATGTGGGTCCTTCATACTTACTTTTTATAGTAACTTGTGGGTGACAATCTCAAACACTCTGCAAACATTAATCCCAGAGCATTCAGGGAACTAACATACATTTTTCTCAATTCACAACAAAGAAACAAGGAAATGCTCAAATGTTATGCCTAGGAAGCAAAATGTGTCAGTTGTCCCAGTGGATATTCTGCCTTGAGGATACCATGTACCTAAAATATGCATATATTTTTTGTACTTTGTGAATTAGTTTAGACTGCATGCATTATAATGAGATTTGTAGATAAGACTGAATAGTGAGTTTCTGTCTATTTTTCTAATTTCTGAATTCACTCTTTGGCTCAGTGACTGGCTTCCATTTTATGTGTCTGGAGAGCATAATGTACTGCCTGAATAACTATGCTGTTTTATTTCCAAGGCTCCTATCTGCTTCGATTAGCCATGCTGAAATTTAAAATTAACAAAAGAGAAGGGTAAACTATTCTGATCCAGATTTTCATCTCAGCTACTTTGGTATAAATTCAGTGATTAAAATTCTAATGAAATTATCTTTTCTTCGAGATTTTTGTAAACTGTTGGGCATTTTAACAGTAAACAGATAAAAGCTGAGATAATGCAGGTTTTATTATATTCCTCTCTTTTGCCAAAATAGATTTAATTGAGAAAAGATGGAAAAATTATCAAGGGAAAGTAAGAGCCTGAAACTCTGGGTTTTTTAAAAAAATAATTAAAAGGTAGTCTTACAGAGGCAGAGTTGTGGGATTTATAATTACAGAGTGCTTGAAGAGTTATTCAGTCTGTCATGGAAACTGAAAGTTGATTATTTAGACTTAGAGTTGACAGATGATTAAGTAACAGTAACAAAACCACAGGCTGAAAGTAAAGCAGTTAAATTAGTTTGAAGGGCTTTTACTATACTGATGACGTGAGATATTTGATGTCCAAGCTGGTGCCGTGTATTCCACAGACTCCAAGTGTTTTCTTCCACTTCTTGTCTGTCACATTTATTCATCTTAAGCTATGTTTAACATTCTGTCCATATTTTCTTTGTTTAGCTCAAATACTGCTGGGCAAAGGTAGTAATTTTGAATTCTGCTCATTATACACTGATTATTTTTTATCACTGTTCTGTCCATGTTAGGGAATGATATTTAAATATTGAAGCACAAAAATGTGTAGGGAGTAAGCCTTGTAAAGTTGTCACTGACAGAACTGTTCAGACAAATAACTTTTGCCAGCAGTAAGTGACCCCAAACTTTACAGACATTTGGCAAATACTTTTTACCCTTCTAGTGTAGATATTTTCTTGTGAAACTTCTGAACCCTTTTAGCAGTATCCCCAGTTCGTACCCCACATTCTTTGAATATTTTTATAGAAATCCATATGCCTTAGGATTTAGCCAGTGATTTCTCCAAAAGGATTCCTGTAGGTATTGTTACGACTGGTCTCTGATGAGGGGTAACTGAGGTTCCTTTTGATAAATCCCTTGGGGTGAATTAGAGTGGGATGATACTCAATGACCAGTGTATATGAGAGGCAGATTTATTTTTAAACAATTTAATTGCAGCAGAAAGGAGGTATGTGTCCCTTTTGGTTCTTCTCTATAAAAGTATAAAAATACCACGAAGAAAATATATAAGGAAAAGAAAGAAAGAGAGGGAAAGGATAAGAGCAGATAGTGGCAAGGAAAGATATAACCATCCATGAATCCAGGAATGAGACTTAAATGTTGTGCTTTGTATGTCTGTGGTTGGAGTAATGGTCACAGTCTTGATCTGTTGGGGGTGGGGGCCTGGAAAACAAAAAGTTCTTCAGACTACATACATTCAAGTTAGCCTGGAAATGCCTAAATCGCTCACCGGGGAGGGGATTCTTCATGTCTAATACAACACTGAGGAGCACACGCAGTTTTCTCATGAGAGTTCCCAAAGACTTGGGGGATGCTTTGGGATCCTTGGTGGTCCAGTGCCCCCCCTAGGGATATGACCACTGTTTGACCCTGCTTTCGTACTTGCGCTGTATGTTGTGTGGTCATCATGGACCTGAACAGAAAAATTGTCTCCAGAAAGGTGCTGCCCTCCTTTCACACAGCCCCCCTTTCCCCGCAAGTCCTGTTAGAATTTGCCCGCTTGACTGGTCATCAGTGTTTGAGGCACAGCAGTGCATTAACTCCTTACTGTCCAGGCTTCTACAGGTATTCCTATCTTCCATCACGTCTTTTTGAACTGTTGGTAAGTGAGAAATTGTCTTCTGAGAGTCCTTGGGGCCATTGACCCATGTATGAGTTTTGGGTCTGTAGAGTGAAGAAGAGTGCTCATCTCCCAAGAGGCAAAAGCCTCACCAGGAGTCTGTTCTCTTGGACAAATTTTGTTTCATAAGGAGTGAAAGGAATGGAGAAGATCACTCATATCAGTAATCCTCCGGGCCAGGAGACCTACTGCAAATGATAGTAAGCTCAATGATCGAGTAATAATAGTGATGCAACCACAGCAGTCTTAGGACACATTGATCTAAAAGAGGATCAGAGCATGGAGAGAGGTATTGTCCTTTATTTGTCAGCCCATCTTTATCAGCTGAAAGATGGACAGCTCTTTGGATTGCATCTGCTGTCATTTCTTATCACACCTGATGAAACAGACTCTGAACCTAAAAGGAATGAACCGCAGGTTGGGGCTTAGCATCAAAAGAGTGCAGTGAAACAGCTAAATCTTCACAAAGTGAACTTGATTCATTTTCAGAGTAATCTGTAGGTAATATTTAATTACTAATTATATTGTATTGTAACAAACTAATGGACATGTTTCAGTATTTTTGAGAAAATTGTGCTTTTTTTAGTAACATGCGGATTTTATTAGAAACCCTATTATTAAACTTATGATCAGTACTAGGGAGAGGATTTCAGTTGTAGTGCTTTTTACAGTTTATATGCTTTAGCACTGTGATTTACTGAGGTTGGTTGCAAAATACATTTATGATTTTTATCACAATATTTATTTGAAATTCTGTGTGCTGTCCTAATTTCACTGGATAAGTAGTCTGCCATAAGCTGCCTGCACCCTTTAAAGGTGACATAATTTATTAAACGCTTTACAAATACAAGGCTTTTTAGATTATGTAGTGCATAAAATATTGCATTTACAAGCTCAAACATATGGTATTAATGAGGAATGATGGCTCTTACAATTTCCTTTTCTAAATAATGAAACTTTTTTGATTAAAGGCTGAAGATGCCAAGGCAGCCATTCTGTAATCTAACAAACGTGCACAGATGTACTCGAACACATGAGTAAACTCATATGAGTAGAGTCTGAATCATCCTTGGAACTATTCCATAAAAGCCTGATCCAAAGTCTATTTAAATCTATAGAAAGATTCCTACTGATTTTGTATGTTGTGGTTGAAGTCTAAAAGGGATGACTATGAATGTTTCTTTGCAGAAGGCAGGTTATCAACGTCTGTAAGAACTGGTGAAATCCTGTCATGGCAAAACTTCCATTGGCTTTATTGAGATCAGGATTTTCCCTGTGTGTATTTAGACAATCAGCTTTACGTGCTCTTTAATGACCAAGAAGCGATGCTGATAAATTTGGAAATTCCATCATGAATAATTGATCTGCAGCTGCATAAAGTATCTCCTACAGTGCACTTCAGTGGTATTCTTGTACAGTATTGAGATACTTTAGGGAATGTACACTCATTCTTCTTTCAGACATCTGTTTTATCTACAGTCCTTGCTGGGATTCACAGACCAAGTGCTCCTTTCCTTTTCACATGCAAGCTAATTAATGCCAGTGTCGGTGCCATTAAAAATTGCACAGTAACTAAACATGCTTGCCTAAGCAAGTATAAATCTTGGTTCAAATCTATTCTCTGCCCTGAACTTGCATCTCCCATGTCCTAGGAAGCAGCCTGGACTCCAGTGAATGGGGATGATCTATGATTAAAGCTGTCCTAATTGCTATCAGATGTTTAAGTATTCCCTGAAATACTTTTGGGAGTGTAGATCTTCCTTCTCGTGGCTGAGTACTCCAGAAGCACAAAACTGGAGATTTATCTAGACATTGGGTAATTTGTTCTCCATTTACTTTCTTTCTCCCCACTCCAAAATAATTATTAGCTATTCCAGAGAGGGCTCAGAAAGAGAGGTTTTTGGGTCTTTTCTCTCTCTGGCTAAGCAGTTTGAGCACTCCTCCAGGATACAAGGTTTAGCACTCTTGACAGAGGAGAGCTGCAGCACAAGCAGCTACTATCACTGCCAGATTGAACAAATTCAGGTACCAGCAGTGAATGGCTGAAATCAAGCTGTCACTGGGGTTAATAAGAAATGAGAAGAAATCCTGTTCTCATGATAAAAACAAGCATACAAATTGAAAAGGACGAACTTCAAGCTAATATTGTTTCGTTTCCCAACTATTCTGCTCCTACTTAATATTTTACTCTTTTGGGGTGTTTGTTTGTTTGGTGGCAGGGGTAGGAACAAGGCCATAAGGGTTTTCTTTTCTATAAATTTTGTCATCTGACTTCTGTTTTAAAAATATAAACTTTTTTTTCCTTTCCTGCAGGTCCTGTTGCCACCATATGATGATCCTGTGAATGGAGCTGCTAAAGATCCACCACCACCTTATGTGTCAGCATAAGTGAGAGTGCTGTGTCCCTAGGGAGTATAGCTTTACTTCTCAGACATTGGAGCAATAGTTTGATAATTTCACTTCCAGGATATAACCTCTGTGGGTTATACACTGCTGTTTTGCTGACATATTGAAACCTAAATTGTATGATTATTATTCTGTAGATAGTTTTAATAACTTACTGCAACTACAGTAGTGTTTCAGAAACTAGTGAACTGGTTTCAGAACAATTCTGGGTAGCGCTAAGGTTACAGTAGTCACTGAATAGCTTTTTCCACCATGTCTGACATGCAGTGCTAGAGAACATAGAACTTTGCATTCTCAATCAGAGTCAGAGTGTAACTTTATTTTTTTTATTTGAAAAACTTCCAAAGCATTACAAATGTGTTTCTCAGATGCCCACTTTCACCTTCAGAATACAGACCAAGTCCAAAAAAGCAACATTCCAGTTCATTCCTGTTTTACAAGAATTTATGAAGTTACTATGCTGTGAAGGATGATGATTGCAAGAAGGATGAGTCTTAATCACTATTCTCATCAACCTGGCTAATGGGAAACAAATTTAATTGGGAAGGATAAGTATGGGAAATGGAGGTAGAGAAAGTGCTCTGTGGTGTGTAACAAGCCAGAACCTGTGGTCTACATGGACTCACTTTGTACCAGCCTGTAACCATTCTGATTTTCAGAAAAAAAGAGTTCTTAGCAAATTCTGATAACTTTCTTTTCCTGCCTACTCACCTTTTTCCTCTCCACTAACTTCACAAAGAGCACTTTGAGGTCACAAAATCCCTGCCTTTAAAATCACATGGTTAGGTGACAAAGCTGTGACTTTTGCACTCAATATGCAAATTTTTCCCCATTGGAATGTGCCTGTAAATATTGCAATGTTCTGCTGAGTGTAAATTAAATTATGCAGATTCTAAGATAAATGTTCCTAATGTGTGGGGAACTTATGCATGTAACTTCCTGGAGCATTAGCAGATACGTTTTACATGTTTATCATATACATCAGTGTGGGGATTTTAGATCTCTTTTATGACTGAACTGGTTTGTGCTGAGAATCTTTGTCGTGGGACTCATCCATCCATGAGTGCTTTTGTGAGGTATTTATTTCTTCTCCAGAGAAGTGCCTCCTGCACATGTAACTTTTTGTTGCTGATGAAGGTTCTACTTTTAATTGAAAAGGAAAAGGGAGTATAATGTGTGTCTCTACCTCTCATTGTTTCCCGCTGTGTTGTCTCCTCTGCATTTGGGGCGATTGAACAGGTTGAAGCTAAAATGATGCCATTGCACAACGCGCCAGGTAAAGGGCAGTGCAGAGCTGAGCCACAATTTGGAGGGGCACCAGAAGACACCGAGGTGCCATCTCTCCTGTGGCTGGGCTGGCACACAAGTCTACGCCCTTCCTAAGGAGGACACCCATTTTAACCCTCAGTGCATTGACTCCATTCTGCAGACTGAAGAAATATAGAACTTTTCCTGCCTTTTTCTGGAAAAGAATTTTCCAGGAGAACACAGGACTGACAACTTCTTTTTACAGAGATTGCAGCTATGACCTGTTTTTGCAGAAGCCAGGGAAGGAAAGGACAGACTCTTTCTGCCTGTCTCTTCCCATCCCTGGGAAAAGGCAGGTCCCCATCTCCTTCTTGGAATTTTAGTTCAGGGTTCATCTACTCTGAGATCAAACTAAGCAATGCATTTGAATGAACCAGTCCTGAAGTCCCTCCACTGATCTTTATCACAGTCCTATTTTTTTCTTCTGAATAACTCCATGTACTCTCTTTACAGATATCTTTGGGAATTAATCTGAATTTGGGGGTTGGGCTGGCTGGCTGGGCTTCTGAGCTTCATTTTCTTTCATTCTTGACAGATTTGTGAAGGATTTCAAACAGTCATCTGTTTGAGAAAAGCTGGTTGTAAATACATTGCATCTGTGTATACAAACTTCTCTACAATAAAAGGGTGTTTCCTCAAGACTATGGAAATAATTTTTGATGGTCTTCCAAACACAAACATACACAAAATCCTGTCCAATCAATCTGTCATGGCAGGATTTTCTCTGTAGAGGACCTAAGCAACAGTTTTTCAGTCCACTCACCAGTCCGTTCACCAGCTTTCCCTCTATATTGTATAAATGAAGAAAAGGACAGTAAATTCCGTAATTTATTGCACAGTAAGACCAAGAGATAATTCAAGGTGTTAGTTCATTGTCCAGAACTGCAGGCAGTTTTCTAGATCTGCGTGTGATACAGAACAGGGCTAAACTGAGCTATGCCGAAAGCTGAGACTTCTTTTTCTCCACATCATAATAGGGATAATGTTTTGCTAATTCACATGAATTTGCTTTAGACTTCAGCTTGTCTTAATAAAGCATCAAGACTTCTTCACACACCCCATACGTGCATAAGTGCAAGTACAACTTGTCCTGCCAGGACTCCTCTTGGATTTTGTCCAATATGAGTTAAAGAAGGCAGGACGGTTATGGTATCAAAACCATGGCATTCTTGCAGACACGGTAAATAACTGGGTAGGAGGTAACAGATAATGTAATATAAGTTCAGTTCTGGTGATGTATCAGAGGATTCCCTTGAGAGATGAATTCCCCCATTCCCAAAGAAAAAAGAGATTCTGTGGGTTACGTGAAGAGACACGAACTCCAGCTGAAGGTTTTTTATCCTCAGATGTTGAATTCATTCTCCACTTCCATGTCTAATCCTGAGGAACTCACACCACAGCTTTTTTATAATTCATTTTTAATAGTCATCTGTGACACAGAAACCCATTAAAAACTTGGCTTCTTAAGTTTCTGTGCTTTGGGAACTGCTTGCTCCTAACTGCTTTTTCCAATATTCCTTGCATTTTTTTCCTTTCTCCCAGATATTAGGAGCATGTGCTTACTGGAGTTCTCTCCTGTTTTCAAATCTGAAACTCTAATATAGCTGTTTTATTAATAATTTTTAGTAATTTAGGATTGGAAAGAAAATATTTTCAGGGAATGTTGGAACATCGTAAATATGGGGCCAAAACCAGCAAGCAGGAATCTAATAGTATTGAATTTGATAGTATCAGAAATATAAGTAGGTCTTTTGTGGAAACCTCTTTTAAAAAACAAAAATCTGTTACAAGACATTGGAGGCTTCACAAATCCTACACATGCTAAGGCACAAAGGCCATTTCACTCATCTGTGCCTGATTCTTTTATTCCCGATTAAACAATGTGGTTTCCCTTCATTGTACACTCATCTATACATCGTATTGGAGAAAGCGAAGAGGAATTTGTAGTGGCGACCCAACAGTGTGGCACTCATGCTTGTAAGTACATTAAATTTTCTAGAACAATTATTAACAACCATTATTTTAGGTGTTAAGACTGTCTGTACTTTGGGAAAACATCTGGTTGGTAAAAACAATCCAGACTTGATATGTTAGCAAAGGCCATGTCAGATCAATTTACAGCCAGAGAAAAGCTTGGCAAGGAAGCAGAGGAAATGATAACTGGTCAACAAGTTCCAAACAGATTCCAAATACTGTGCTTTCATAATAGGGCATTCCTCACTGCTACTCTGTTGGCCAAAGTGTAGCAGCTAGGGACACCATGGACAATTTTGACAGATTTTTGCTAGTATCAGCAAGGCTGCACACTGATGCTTGGAATGTGCAAGATGGAAGATATGGCTACTGCTAAGGACAGAATGGAAAGAGGAGCAGCAACAGGAACAGAACATAGGAGGGCAACGTTCGTGTACGTCCTTTAAGCAGCACAGAGATGCCATTGCATTGACGGGTTCACTGCTACAATATTGGTTGGCTTATGTGCTCTTTCATTTTCCTCTGCTATGGTCTGGAGGAAATATAATTGTGCCTGTAACCTGTTATATTAGCTGTTAGACCAGCTCTGTTTCACAGTTTATCACTGGAGTGGATGATGCCTTGGTGTTACTTGTTGTAAGGCAAAGACATCTACAGATTTGTATTTCTAAACCAAAAGAAGTATTGATTAAATTCCTGCCAAACTATCTAGTTAGATAGAAGACTCCAAGCTGCTCCTCTGGGGCTAAGTTACATCTTTAAAGACTGCTCTTCATAGATGTTCTCTCCATAGAGGCTGCTCTCTTTAGATGCTGCTTCCCTGGACCCAGGTTATATCCTTCCCATTCATCTACCTCTATTAGCTGCAGAAACTGCAATCGGATACCACAAAAAAGCATTTCTTGCAAAATTTCAGTACCTGTTGCTTCAGAGATGTTCCAGCAATATCTCAGTTCCCAGCTCTGAGAAATCCAAAACAGCAGCCATAGCTATCTAAAGGGAGGCTTGGCTCTGATAATTCAGGATTAGCATTCTTTCAGAGAAAGACTCTGGTATTTGTAGATGATGTCTCCACACCCATGGGTTTGACCCAGAATGGTTTTGCAGCGTCGCCAGTTTTTCAACTAAATAGCTCAGCAGGGTGTGGAAGACAGATCTGTGACCTTCTGCCTGCAGCCTGCATCTACCTACAGCAGAAGAGGATACTCTAGCAATGGGAGTGAAAGCCTCATTGTCACCCAGCCAGTAAATATGAAGTTATTTCAAAGCAAAAAAGCAGTTCTACGACTACACCCTAGACAATGAATTACAACAGTAGTTTATTTTAATGAAGCACTTCTGTGAAATTCAATGCAGTAAATTAGTTTTTTTTCTTTCTTGCAGATTATTCAAACCTTTCAGGCAGGAGAGTTTTTGGAAAGTAATTAAATGTTTGTACTTTGTAGCCAGAGCTGGACTTAACTAATTGGTTTGAGCGGAGGACACAGGGTCACTCATAAAGCTGAATAAACATCAAGGAGATGAATCAGGGCTGCAGCAGGGCTGGCTACCTGGCTTACATGAGATGTTTGCTAGCCAGCAGAGACAGAGACGCTGTGAAGCTACTCAGAGAGAGGGAGCTGCAGCTCAGCAGATTCTCTGCAGGCATTTCAGAGTACTTCTGTTTGCTCTTTGAGGTCAACATGACCAGCAACGGCAGAGATGAGCCACACACAGTTTTTTAGCCCAGAACCTGGGTTCCATTACAATACTTAAGTGCATCCTGCTAATAATTTTAACAGGCTTCTGTTTTAATATAAACTTTGCCCAGGTATCTAAATATTTCTGGTTTTTGAAGGGGTTTATACTTATTTTTTTCAGATTCCATCTTTTCCATGTAATATTGAAACTGTTTCCTTCTCCAATGCTCCCCATTGAGGTCCCTTCATGAGAGCAGGGGCAAGCATGCAATTAGAGACAGAGGTCTGACATGGGTAGACTTTTAGCATCAAATCTGAGAACATTCAGTGCCAGGATGGGCAAGGTGTTCTTCAAAATACAGATATCATTCTAATAAGAGTACACAAAAAGGTCTCATATGGAGAAAAAGTTACTGGACAGACAACTACCTTTCAGTTATGTTTTGTGTATGACCAGTACACCAGATTAAGACCAATAGATAAACAATAAATTAGTAGGACACTCTGGGAGATGGATACTATTTATATGAATGTGATCATTCTTGGCAGTATCAGATGCACTCGCCTGGGGCAGCAAAGGCAGTGAAAGTAAAGGAACAAAGGCAACAGCTGGCAGTTAGTTACAAATACTTATATTTTGTGAGTTTATAAAGTCTTTTCCCCATCAAATCATTAGAAAAATTGAATGAGTTTCATGTCCCTCATTGCATTAGAGACAAGGATGAAATTAGCTATATCAGTTGCACAGGCCAGCTTAAATTTCCTGCTATTGTGAGATCCTGCTGCTTTGCTTCTCATAAGGAAAAAGCAACTATAGAAGTTCAAAATGCTTTTAAAGAACCAGACTATTTGATACAGTAGTTTTGGGGATTTATTTATCAAAAAATACTGAAGTTTGCTTATTTTTAATGTTTATGTTTCCCTTTTAAATACAAATATTT